GTGTTAAGCGAACTAAAAGTTGGCTAAGATCAATTTGGGTTCATTTATAAATAATAATTGCTTCACACACAAGTGTCACGAGAGCGAGAGACATTATGCATTGGGGTTTATGCTGTTTTTGTCCGAACCTGTATTTTTCTGAAATTCGATTACTGTGGGAAAGCTGGGGATGAGAGGGCATATGATGAGCAAAATAATACGTTCTTTGTATTTTCTCAGTTAAACATAATATAATAAACTGTTTCCCCACAAAACACTATAACCTGTACACACACGTACGCACTCGCACACACACACACACACACACACACACACACATACACACACACACACACACACGACACGCACGCGCGTGCGCGTGTTCCCCCGCGCGCACACTCACAAACACACACACACACACACACACACACACACATATGCACAAACAAACTTCCAAACGTTATGCGGTGCATCACTGCCAACTCCAAACGCTAAAACTTAAAACCATGTTTGCGATAACGTGAAAGAGATTAAATCAGCCAGACATGGACATGAATTAAAATAGGTTGCAATGCAGTTTCTTCCTTTGTGTAAAATATAGCCTATTATAATAATAATAATATTGGCGTCCAGCATACGATTCATATTTTGTTCGCGCTTTAACAATGTAATTAAACGCTTCTGCTAATTGTCTACTAAAGAGTATAACTACGGGGTGCCACGCGGGCTGGATCGGGCCGATCGCCCGACTTTAAGTCGCCTGAAACTGAAAACAAACACGTTTAGGGGAAATTTCATAATGTACATTTTTGTGATAGGCCAAGACACCGAGAAAGCCTAGGCCTAGGCCAAGGAGATTAAAAGTAAGTTCTAAACTCCTTGGCCTAGGCCTATTCAGAGTGAAAAAAAAAAAATTGTTTGAGGCGGTTTTTTAAATCAAACGGTGGCGGGTTTTCGACCTGGCAACCACTTAGCGTGCTGGCCTGGCATGTTGCGGTGGTGTCGTGTGGTGTGTAGTGTAGTGTAGAGATCCAGCGTTTGACTGGTTTTGTGGAGATTAGCCCAAAACTTTGTGTCGAAATTAATCCGGTGACCAACTGAAAGGGAATATTTACGTCTTGGTCTTTAATATCGTCCACATGCTATCACGTTCAGGCCGGGCTGAGACCCGAAGTCGGGCGAAAGAGGATATCAAACGGGTTATCAATGCCATTGATCGAGTTCGGAAATGGTAAGACGAATCCTTTCTTTGTGTTCACGTTCGTAGGCTGGGGAGTTTTGATGCTAGATCTAGATCTAGGCTTTATTTAGAAAGAAAGACCTGTTATTGTTGTTGTTGTTGTTGCATTACTGGCAGTCAGAAAGTGTCATCACCAGTCTGTATTTGTGTTAGATCTAGAAATCTAGATTCTAGATCTAAGTTGTTTTTTCGTTTCTCATCTTCATACTTACACGTATCGTTTTGTTTACTTGTGACCGCTTGTCACCATTTTGTCTGTGGAATTGATCCTGTAATCATACTGAAGTGTCTTTAGGCCATTTCCAAAGGGGTGACATTAGCATATTCTTATACACAGTAGAATTGTAAATGGGCTGATTCATCATTCAATGTCATTCTCATACCTGTACCTCATGAACTGCTACCGGGGAAATGCTGCTTTTTCTTTCACCCACCCCTATACTACTAGATCTATACTATTCTCACGCTGATGAACTATAGTAGCGCAGTTGTAGGGTCTCTCACCCGGGATGAGAGGGCGAGCCTTTTGGCTATTCTCACCCGATGTGCGTTCGCTGTGATTCCTTAAAGTTGATTTTGGACCTCCTTTTTGTCTCACCCGGGTATTCCGCCTTTTGGCATAGGAAGTGGTTATTCTCTCTCCGGGTGAGAATAACCAATGTCTCGCTATTCTCACCCCCTCCCTTGTTTTTACCGGAAATGACCCAAGAGGGATCAGGGCTGAGGTTACCTAGGCTGATGCTCCAAAGGATCGTGTTGGTGTCCGAACAGAGAAAGAGATCTCTAGATATATGATCATGATCTAGATCTAGATAGATCTAGATCTATCTAGTCACAGTCTACTTACTTTTTTTAACTTTTTACTTTTTCATCCTCTATTGCCGTCACAAGCATCGAGGGGAGATGCAGTTTTCTATGGTAGGCCAGCTCCGCAGCTCTTTCAGTCGTGATGTTATGTTTTTTCAGGGTTTCCTTGACACCCTCGGTCCACCTTTTGGTCTAATTGGAGCCAAATCCCAGAAATTTGGCTCTTGGGGATCGCGTCTGGCCTTGAGAATTTCATTTGGCTCTCTAGCTTTTTTTTTGGCTCCAAACTCCAAATGTTCAAGAAGAAGGAAGGGGACAGAAGAGGCAAGAAAAAAAATGAAAGTGAAGAAAAGAGCTTGGATTACTTCATAAAATTATATTAGTTAACAACACGATTTAACACCCTTGCCCATTTGGTCTGAATAATTTACAACCCTTCAACCGTCATGCAAGAGCATACATTTTAGGAAGTGGCTATTCTCACCCGGGGTGAGAATAGAAAAACGATCGACCTCTCACCCCGGGTGAGACAAGACTTGCCTCCGAAGGCTATTCTCATCCGGTGTGAAACAAGACCTGTTTTTCCTAATTTTGGAATACTTTCTATCGTTGTAGATGATCAAATGTCAAATGGATAAAGGCAAAGAAAAGATTACGTTATAGCACAAAAGTAAGCTAATTTTATCGACTTCAAAGATGCTATGGCTATTCCACTTTTCGAATCGAGCCGAACTACGGGGGTCGCCATTTTGTTTTGCCTGGAAGTTCTCGCGCTACTCCTCTCTCTTACTCTTTCTCTCTCTCTCTCTCCACTGCCCACAGACAAAATTGTACGCTATTAGTTTTAGTAGGCTAACAGTAGTAATGGAAGTCGTTTGTTCACGGCACAGAATTCTGCAATTTTTCTGTTATCACAGTGTAGAATTCTGTGGTTTAGGGTGAACGCAAAATTGGTTGGCCTAGATCTAGGCTATAACGGTGAACGCCCACCGGGTGAGAATAGCCAAAAGACTCGCCTGCGCTATTCTCACCCGGGGTGAGAATAGAGGTGACCTACATTTTAATAGTCTCGTGCTCGTGTCTCGTTACGTTCATCCATTTTTCGCCTCTCCAGTAAAAAAAAAAGGCTCACTACCAACGCTACTGAGCGGGATGTGGGACCGGCCGCCGGCCAAGCCATTCGTTGTTTACGCTCTCTAGCTATTCCTTGAACCATTTAATTAATTACGTATTGTATGCAGCCAGAGAGGCCTGCCATCGCGAGTGTGTAAACAACGAATGGTCTGGCCGGCGGCCGGTCCCACATCCTGCTCAGTAGCGTTGACAGTGGGCCTTTTTTTTACTGGAGAGGCGAAAAATGTTTACATTATATTATTATTCGTTCCCAACCACATGCGGTAAGCCACCAAGGGCGTAGGTTATTTAATCGACCTGCGAGAGGTCAGGGTGGAGTCCTCGCCTCATGCCCACACCAGGGTGGGAGCTATTCTCACCCAGGTGAAGGGGGGTGAAAATAGCGAGACATGGGTTATTCTCACCCCGGGTGAGAATAGCGAGACATGGGTTATTCTCATCCGGGGTGAGAATAAAGGTGGCATTTGGCAAAGGCTCACCTGTGTAAACAAACGTTCCAGTGCTCTTGTATTGAAAGCGTGCAAGTTTGTATGTGGGCAGTGAGAGAAAGAGGGGGGCAGTGGGGGGGAGAAAGAGAGGAGTAGCCTAGATCTAGCGAGAACTTCCGGGCAAAACCATATGGCAACCGGTGTAGTTTGGCTCGATTTGAAAACTGAAATAGCCGCAGCATCTTTGTCGATGCCCAATTTAGTTTACTTTGTACTATTATAACATAATTTTTTCCTTTGATTTTGTCAATTTGATCATCCACAATGATAGAAAGTTTAGAAATTAGGAAAAACAGGTCTTGTTTCACACTGGGTGAGAATAGCCAACAATGGCAAGTCTCACCCGGGGTGAGAGGTCGATCGTATTTTTATTCTCACCCCGGGTGAATAACTTCCAAAATGCTTACTAACTCTATCGTCTTTTTTCCTCTTTCTTTTGTCTGTTTGTCACACTCTTGTGACCCGCTATTTCTGGGATGCCTTGATTGTCGAAGCAGACTTTGTGCTGTTGAAGCTAGAGAGATGAGCAGAGTTCCCTAAGTAAGCCTGATTCCCTGTAAGGACTTCCCTGTTGACATCCACCCCTTGGCGCTCATATTATCGTGTTTGCAGTTTCGAGCACCGTAAAAAATTGATACTACTGTTTCTGTCATTTTTATCATTGCATCTTACTCGGGCAGTCTTGTTTTAAATTTTTATAATTGTTTACTCATCTAATTCTAGTACTAGTTGACCTGTGTTTGAAGACTGAATGGTAAATTTTTACTTTCTTTCCCAAAGGCAGGCTATACACAGGGATATAATCATCATATTATAATGCGCTGCTTTTTTGGTAAATTTTGGGGGTCAAACGGCCATTTTTGTTGTTGCTGTTCCAGTCTGGCCACTAACACTGTTGCAAATCAATTAGGCCAATGCCCATCTGTGTGTGCTATGGCTGTTTATTTGAACACATTTTAGCATATATGTCTTTTTTCATCCTCAGGGAAAAGAAATGGGTGACGATTGGTGACACATCTGTAACAGTTTTGAAATGGGTTCCAATTACAGCTCAGGAAAATCCAGGGGTATGCCTCAACCCCCCCCCCCGAATACTTTCATCGTTATTATTTCAAAGGGAATATAATTTTTATTGATTATACTCCCTTTCACTTTCCACTTAGATTTTATAACATATTTTGATGAAAAGAGAGAAAGGACAAATTATATACAGAGTACAAAATTAAAATGTTCAATCTATGTTTAGAATATAATGTTGTACCATGAAACTTGTAACTTTTGTTTAAAGTTTTATTGCCAACTAGTAGACTTTGGTTAGGGTCGCTAAATCAGCGTCCACGAGTAACGAATGGTTCGCTGATAATACTCGCAAATGAACAGATGAAATAATGAACCGTCCACTTGTGAAGATTTGTTTGCTGCACTTCAGGCGCAGAGCCACGATTAATGAACCGGGTCATCCATTTGCCCCAGCTAGTGTTATTTTTCTAACCATACCTGAACTTATTTTTTGCTCCTTTGTTTTTTAAAAACCATCCTGCTTTGAGTTATTGAATTGAAAACTGGATCAAATTGGCAAAGAAATGTGTAGAAAAATATTGTAACACTGTTGGGTAAAAGGACTTGATTACAATTTCTTTCCCATTTTTAGGCTCTAAGAAAGGTGCCTGGAGTAAAGACCAAGACATACTCAAAAGCTCGTGTAGAAAAAGAACGTGAGCTGTATACTGGTGGGTATCTTTCACTTTCACCCCATTTAGAAAAAGATTGTTGTTGAAATTGGTTTTGTAATTTGTATGATCATCATGTGCATTTCTCATAATTATTGTGTTGTTTAAATTTATCGTTGATGTCTTGTATCATAATTTAATTTAAGTACCAGTGTGATATATTGTACTTTTGATTAATTGATGTTAAACATTTTTCTCTTTTTTTATAAGTGGAGAGTGCATTGTTTTCTTCTGAACAGTGTTATTATCATAAAAGTGTATTTTACCGGGGCTATCTTATTTTGTGAATCCAGCCATTGTGAAGAGTCAATGGCGTGCAATGTGACTGAGTATATCACAGCGCTCTTTTAATGTATGGTTGTGTGTGAAAAGTAGACTGTGCCAAGGTTCCTATAAAATTTGTATCCTGTAATGTCAAAAACATGATGAGAAATCATTTCAGATTTGAATTTAGTTATATATATCTGTTAATTTTTGTTATTGATACCGCGATAAACAAGTTTGGACTTTCTATTCTACGTCAGGATGATAGTTTTACAGTTCTTTCTTGTTTGTTCTATTTCTAGTGTGGTTTCGGTGTCTGGTCTCTGAAAAATGTTGATCTAATATATGTACGTCCATCTCAAGGATACAACATCGGACCGAAAGTGACTGGTGTCAAATCCACTATCTTTTTATCATGAGAATCAAAACAGCTTGACCATTTTTATTTGCTCCCTCACACCAGATCGTATTACTTCTTCTTCTTTATAATACACTGATTTCTGTTTTCTATTTTGGCAATAAATATTAATTTGGAGTAAAGAATTAAAGTGATCAGTCTTGCAGAGAATAATCACAGTAATTTGAATGTGTTAAGTAAGTTCATACAATGTTGGAAAAGGGAGGTACGGGTTTGGCCGTATGTTGACTCCATTTTCCCATTTACTTCCCATCAGATTCGCTGTCTCAAGGTAAAACATGTTTATATCTCTCATTTGCTTTCAATGACCCTTTTGCATGCTCAAGATAAATTTGCAATATTAAAAAATCTGTGCCTTGATACTCTAGGCATGACTTCCACTTCTACCTCTAACTGAAAATTTATTTAGTTGCGTTCAACAATTTCAACAGTAACTAATCTGTTGTTATTTTTCCTTCTAGATCTCTGTACTGTAGTTTTCCCTGAAAATGTTGCTGTCATATTACTATCATTTGCCTTAAATATTAGACCTCCTTCAGTAGTTTTTCAGGACGACTTTTATTAACCTGCATGTCTGTTTTTTGATTAATGAAAAATGGCTTTTTATCTAAAGATACTTTGACAAGATTGGCTCAGAAATATTGACATTCATGTTATAGCTTTAGTGCCCCTTTCTGTGAAGTAAGCTTTTTTAAAAGAGGTGGTATCTTTTAATTTAAAGTCCATCTCCGATGAAAATCAAGCAGTGCTGTGAACTGTGGTGAATGCAACCAACTTGTGTTTCGCCCTCTCATATGACCTTATGCAGAGCAGCTGCAAGTGCCGTAAAACTTTTACTAAACAAACTGCGTCTCCGATAGGACTGGAGCCAGATGGGTGGAGAACCCTGAAAACTCCAAAACAACCCAAGTTCAGAATGCCCTGTTGGGGATTTGAACCAGACCACCTGCTCCGCAGTCCAGCCTGACACCAGCTGAACTAACAGTGTGCCTGCTCAGAAACAGGAGAATGGTGTGTCTGATGAATGCCCCGAGCAGTTATTTGAGGATAATTGTAATAAAAGTGGCAATGGGAAACTCAACTCTTTGTCACTAGAGGATACACATGCTGAATATGAGATTGGAAAGAGAAGTGGATGTACCCTTTATACTGTCCAAATTTTCCAAGTTTTTTCAGTTCCCTTATTTCATTACTTTCTCATCTTGACAAGATGTGTTGCACTTGTGCCACTGCGGCTAAAGGGATCACTGTAATAACTGACAGTCATTACATTTTGGCAATCCAAATGTTTACGATTTTACTTCTGAGTCTGAATTTCTGGCCAAATTAATTTTGCCCGAAATCTTTTTGAGGAAACTTTATAGGGCTGGATAAATTATTGTTCTACAGTTGAACACATCTGAGTCTTGGTACGCTTTATAATAGTAACATTTACATACGTGAATAGATCAGTCAGTGTAATTGTATTGATATGTTTCTTCTCCTGAGTTTCAAAATAGTCTGACCATTTGGTCACTAATGCCATGGCTTATTATTACTAGGTATACTGATTTTAATTTGGGCCTGTTTTGTTTTACTTTTCAAGCCGAGGCAGACGCCCAGCTGCGGGCTGGTTCCCCGTCCAACAGCAACACTAACCTGTCATCTGCCAGCAGCCCGTCCTCCAAGACACAGCACAGCAATGGGGACAAGCATAAGTCAGGGGTGGTCAGGAACAGCAGCGGTGAGTGACAAGTTAAAAAAGAAAGAAACCAAACAAACTACAGTCAAACCTTTGTTGAGGAGAAAAGTGGTCATCTTGGACATATCGCTACCCTAGAATTGAAAAGTTCTATCAGCTCAGTCCCTAGTTTTGGGAAATTTGTTGACATGTTACTTAAAATGGCCTACAAAAATTTCCGACAGAACTTTGTAATTCTAATGTAGTGATATGGACCTCTTGGACAATGTCGTTTTACTATGGGGGAAAAAAACTGCAAGCAGGGGAGTGGGAAATGCTTGTTTGTACTGATGGTTGTCTTGGACAGGGGGTGGTTAGAGCAGGTTTGACTGCATGGAGTTGTGTTTGGGTTTTTTCGCTGGTCAGACTTGAATCTCGTGTACCGCATTCCTGGGTTGTAATCTGGTCAAACTATGTTGAGAATGTGGGCTCATGCTTGGGTGTATTGGTTTACATTTGATTCTGCTACTCTGGTTTCTTTTATATTCTTTTATATTCTTTTATATTCCGCATGTGTTTTGGTTGAACATGTTTCTGGATCATATGAATGGGCAAACAGCACAAGCTACTGGTCTCACAATGCTGTGGAAATAGGAAAGTGTGGAAATTTGTTTACTGTTTAACTTTTTTTTTTTTTTTTTTTTTTCAATTCACTGGCTGCCAACACGGACGGACGTTGCATCGGGAGGTCAAGACACACCCGAGAAATGCTGAAGCTGTAGAAATTTTGTCACCTATTTTGTGTAGTTTTTGCTCTTGTCATCTTAGCTTGTTGGTTCATTTTTATCAAATATTTTGATATTTAAGGTGCTGTTTAGTGGGTGGTTGGCGGGTGCTCTGGTGTGGTTTGCTCCTTCTTTCCTCTAAACAGCTATCGTCCTTATCTCTCCTCCTTCTTTTTTACGTTTGTTGTTACTCTCTTGTAACACCTCTAATCTTCGGCACTTATATGACCTTATTGTGTTGCAAGTGCCGTAAAACTCTTTACTAAAACTTAACTAAAAAGGTGCTGTTTTTCCTTTTTCTTCTTTTTCTTGAATTTGTTGGGGTTTTCAAGACTCCTGATTTTTGCTCCCCAAACCCCAATTTTGAGGAAAGCTCCTATTTCTGTTCATGGAGTGGTTTACAGGACTGCTTTTGCTATAGGTTGTTCTGTTTTCCCAGGTTCTGTGGTGTACACGGAAGAGACGACTCAGCAGTCTGTGGGCTCGTACTGCTCAGAAAACCTGAACGAGGACTCCAACATGTCCTTCCCCGACCAGAGCGAGAACAGCCCGCACAACGAGAACACGAACGAGTTCTCTCACGACAGTAACGATGTCTATCCCGAGATGAGAGTTGGTAAGGGAGAGAGTGGAATTTTTTAGTTTTCATTCTGAAAATTTTTTTCTCTTTGTCTGTCTGTCTGTCTCTCTGTCTGTCTGTCTGTCTGTCTGTCTGTCTGTCTGTCTGTCTGTCTGTTTGTTTCTGTCTCCCTCTCTCTCTCTCCCTCTCTCTCTCTCTCTCCCTCTCTCTCTTTCTCTCTCTCCCTCCCTCCCTTCCAGTCCCTACCTTCGTTTCTTTAACTGGAGAAGGTTTTTGTTCTGCACATTTCAAAGTTGTAATAAAGTTATGATATTAATTGTGTCATTTTAACTTTATTTTATGAAGAGCATATGTAATATATATGATTATGACAGATAAATGGTTAAACCACTGAAAGATTATTCTTGTGATCAGGTATTCATTATACTGTGACAAGATTATTTTGGATTTCAAAATTGTGTTTCGTTTCGCTGTCTAGTCAGATCTTGTTTTATTTGACAAGATGACCATAATGTTTTCGTTTTAGGAGCTGGTTTTGCTGCTTTAATTTGTTTTTGATTTTAAAAAAAGAATGTATTTATGTTTCAGCTATGAGCATGGTGAGAGAAGAAGAGAGTGGAAAACCGGACCCTCCTGAAGAAAGTAATGGTAAGTGCTGAAGCAGTGCCAAAATAGTCTGGGTTTCTTCGGGATATAGTAAAAGGAAAAAATATATGTCTATCTAAGCCAGCACTACAATAGTATAGCTGGCTTAGATAGACTTTTTTGTTTGTGTACGTTTTAGATGTGTTCTGGAAAAAATTATCTCTGGTACTGATTTAACACCCCCCAAACACTGATTGACTGTTATGGTGTGAATGGCTGAATGGCATTCACTGTGCTCCTCTTTTATTTTACCCTTTGAACGCAAAAGCTCGCTTTAATAGGATAGATCTAATGTTCCTGTGCTCCAAAATCCTGCTTTTGAGGGATTGACAAAACCCTTTCTTTGCTTTTCTGTTTCTCTTTAGTGAGAATGAAATAAGCTATTTAGTGTCAGATTCGAGCAGGAAGTAATTTAGAGTTTGTGTTGTGAACTTTGAAGGAAATAAGTGTTTGAAGCTGTTTTGTGGGTGGTTGGCAGGTGCTGTGGTGTGGTTTGCTCCTTCATTCCTATCAAACATCTATTGTCCCTATTCTTATTTTTTTGTGTTTGTTACTCGCTTGTAACACCCCCAATAGTCAGCACTTACATAATCTACTTGTGTCGCAAGTACCGTAAAACACTACAACAAAAAAACAAAGCTGTTTCTGAAGTTTTTGATGAGCTTCTTCAGTCCCAGCCATCAACATGAGGGATGGGTGCTCAGATTGGGGGGTCATAATCGGTTCAGGAACTTAACATTTTCCACCCACGCAGCATGCTGAAGAGAGCAACACTTACCCCCACGGACCAGGATACAGGTGCGGTACACACTATATCACACCATTGCCGATCGGCGTCCCGTGGGGAAAATGGATGGCTTCTTACCGTCGCCGATCTGCCTCCCGTGGGGGCAAAGTGTTATGGTTCAGAGAGTTAAAATTTATAGTAAGTTTCAATGGGATTGATATGAGGCTTATATTGCTACCCCAGAATTACAAACTTCTATCTGCTCAGTACCTAGTTTTGAGAAATTTGACGTCAGAAATTGAGAGTTTCACAATATGTCAAGCTTTTTCAAATGCAATTCCTTGAATATCTTGATAACAACTCCGAATAATATTTTGATTTTGATAGAGCCGATAGATTTGGTTTTTGACCTCATGGTCGTAGTTACTCAAAATAGCCAAAAATGTCAAATAGAACTTTGTAATTCTGAGGTATTTCAGTCAGCAGGTCAAAATTAGATTGTTTTTCCTTTAAATAGCTTATTCTTTCACAGTCGTCCATTATCTTACTCCTTCTTTTCTTTCCCTCTGTTGTTTCTGTCTGTCTGGCTGCTTCTTCCCTGCACTATAAGACTGTTATTGTGTCAGTGTGGCTTTTCCCCACCCAAATAAATAATAAACAAATAAACAAACAACACATACATGGCTATCGTTCTACTGTGTGTTTGCAGACGGAGGTCCACCAGAGCTGGAACCAGAATCCGACGAACCATTGGCCAAGAAACAAAGAACAGGATCATAATGGAGGTTTCATCTTCTGGTTATTATCATCATCAATCAAATGTGGACCATTTCTTTATGTCATTCACTGGAAAGCTATTAATGAAATTTGAACCGACCCAATGTGTTTTTGTTAGTGGGGGCACACTGTACTTGAGTGTCTTCTGTTGTGTACGTTTGTGTAAGTGGGTACCATGGCGACCTTTGATTTCAGAAAGTGCAGAGTTGACCTACAAGGTCTTCATCTATTTATAGTCTGTCCTATTTTTACGCGTTGTTGGTACCAATGTATGTATTACAGACCTACCAAGTACTCTGATAAAACTAGAGCTTACCAATGTATTTTTGCTGTTCATAGAGCCCAATTTGGATTTGCAAGAAATCCAATTTTTTTCTTTTTTTTTTCCTGAATTCCATTTCAATCAGTCATATGCAACTTGTCATAAATGACATGAAAATACTTCTAGTTTATTTCTATATTTATTTATAACATTTGCGTAACTTATCACCGTAAATGATGTGAAAATACACATTTTTATGTCAGTGTGTAATTTAATAATGCACGTTTTTTCTGCTACAGTCTGTTACATAATCTTAAAGAGTTCTGGAGACTCCAATTCCCCCCCCCCCCCCCCCCCGCCTGCCTTCCTAATTTTTTTGGGAGGATTTTGAAGAAACTTTTTTTTATCATGGAGTAGTTGATAGGCCTGATAATATGTAAAAATGTACTTGAGTGGACTCAAATGACATTGGGATCAGGAATGTGGCAAAGATGAAGTAGGGGAGTTTTGTTTTTTTGTGTTTTGACAATTCAAATGTATGAACTTTAATTTCTTGTCTTCATTTTGTGTGGTAGCGGTTAGTTGTATTACTAATTAATGGCCCTACTGGTTTTGTGGGTTTTTTGTTTAGTTTTTCAAGTTGAGGAAACTCACAAAGACAGTTAATTAATGAAATATTGTTATAGTGTTTGAATTTACAAATGCTATAAATTGTCTTTGTAACTGCTTAGAATAAAAAAAGGTCTAGATGTTATTTCTGATTCAATTTGGCTTGATTTTGCTGTTAAACAGTAGATGGGGTGCTTTTTAAAATTTGTCATTCGTTACAGAAAAATTTTTCCATGATTTAGATTGGTGATGGGCTGAATTCTATGATCTCTCTTAGAAATGTTAACACGATAATAGATATTTTTTGGTTGCTCTCACTGGGCAGGGGAATTGTTTGTATTATATAGTGCTATGAATTTGGACAAGTTTTGGATCGTTTGGTTTTGTGTCAGAATGGGTATATAGATGAGAGGTTGATGGCTGTTGCAGCATGATGTTATTTTTACCAAATACAGGAACTTGCATATTTTTACCTGAAGATAATTGAGCATTTTTCAAGCTACAAGATGAATTATGAATGTTTGCATGTTGTTATAGTAAAGACTTGCTCAAATAAATTTGAATGTAATGGATTTGTTGGCAAACCGGTAAAATGCACTGAGCCCAAAGAGTAAAATTTTACAGGGAAGAGAGAATGCTGCTTCATTCTTTCAACACTGGTACCTTCCTATTGTATTAATTCATGTGGCAAAGTAGGTCTTTAGAACATGTTGCCAATGCCACAGATTAAAAAACTGCAATTTGAAGAAAAATACAAAACCTTTGGCATAGTACATTTTAACAGCTGGGCGACAATGAATGTTTTCTGAGGTAGTCTTTTTGGCAATGCAGACTTATTCAACTTTTAAAAACCAGAAAAGTGATAGATGATGGATAGTTATTTTTCTTTACATATGTTGAGTGTTCCTTTCATTAGGGACCCAAACTTCCAACACCACCAAATTCTACCGTCCAACCAGCATGAGAGGTGTAAGGCTCAAGACGTTTTGCTATCGGAAAAAATACATTTGATTCTCATTCTATCTTAGATTTTGCATCTCTCTCAACAGCACTGGTTGGCCTTGACAGGGAGGGGTGCAGCAGTCTACATGCTAATTATCTATGTCAGTGCGGGCAGGTGTGTTTAAGCCACTGGCTGGTTTAAGTGATTTTGAATAATCTCACTTCCTGAAGCTGGAGAAAATGTGGTAAAACTAGTTTAAACACTCAATCTCTCAAAAGGGAGACTGTAGCATATAATATCACTCAAGGGCATTTTGTGAGATGGAATTTAAATATGGTAGATCTATTTCTTTCAGCTTGACCAGAAACTATGTTAAGTTTCTACATGAACAGTTTTGTTGTTATGAATTACCAGCTCACCACGGGCCATGTTCATTAAATACTGAGTAGACTCGAGAGACAAAAGTATTAGATAGAAGCTGCTTGCTGGTTGGATCTGGCCCACTGGCCTCAGTTTGTCAATGCCTGACTGCTGTATCTATAGGGGGCATTAAACATTTACCACAGTCAGGACCTAATGTCCAACTGCTGTAGACACTGAGAGGCAGTTGTGGCTGAGGCGTTAAAAATAAATTTGGGAGAGTAAAGAAGTTTTCCTCTGGTGGTTGGAGAGCGCCACTGGTAGGTCCTACTTCTTTACTGTTCCCCCTGTTGCTTCTCTCTGTCTGTCTGTCTGTCTTTTCCCAGCACTAAATGACCTTTATTGTGTCGATGTGCTTTTCTTTGCTCCAACAAACAAGAAATTTTCTTTGTCAAAGATGGTTACACCGACGCTTATGATGTGGTTAGGTCGTTTGCTGTCACACACAGGAGGCCCGAGTTTGATTCCTGAGTAGAGAGAATTTTAATTGAGTATATTGGGGTTTTTTTTGTGTTGGGGTGTTGTACCCGCTCAGCCTGACATGCAGGGTCAGAGGTCTGCCTCCTATATAATAATAATAATAATAATAGATAGCATTTGTATAGCGCATATCCCCGCTCAACAGCAGGCTCTATGCGCTTTACACTATATTATTACCCCAGCAGACCATAGAACACTCCGAAACATTCTCAGCTTCCCGGGAAGCATACAGTGCAAGCAGCCGATTAAGCGCTCAAACACTAACAAACTGACAAGATCTTTCGCTGTCTATAGCCGGGTACCCATTCCCACCTGGGTGAAGTGAGGAAAATTCGTGTAAAGTGCCTTTCCCAAGGACACAACGTCGGGTCCCTGACGGGATTCGAACCCACGACCTTACTGTTGCGAGTCCGAGAGCCTAACCACTAGGCCATCGATGCCACAAATATGACCTAACTTGTGTTGGGGTGTTGTATCCGGCTCAGCCTGACATGCAGGGTCAGAAGTCTGCCTCCTATATGACCTAACTTGTGTCGATAGGGTTGTAAAAACATCTACATAAAAAAAAGATGATTTGTAAATTTCACGCTACTGGTACACCTAATTTAGGCTATAGACTAGAGGATGTGGGCATTGACAGGAGTATAACATTTACTACAAATAGTACAAAACATCATGTTGTGAAAGTTTGTAAAGTTATTAAGTCTAGCACGCACATAGCAAAATCAGCAGGAGGGGTGGAGAATCTTTTCATTATGGTGCACATTTGGCTATGTACGTTTTTTAAATACAAAGGAAAAACATATATTACATATATAATTTTAAAAAACGAATTCGGACCCAAAAATCTGTTTGCTGTGTGCGTGCTAGGAGTATATTATTTTTAGTGTTCAGTTCTGGTATTGTGCTTCTATTTATCATTTTCCATTATTCATTGGTTTCATTATATTATTATAAAGCTTGAAAATAGTATCCCATCTTGGAGTACTCTTTTTGTCAGAATAAATTAAATACACTTTGAATTTGACCAAGCTTCATTTGTTCAGTGTCTTGTTTTTGTCTCTTACTGTTGTGGGTGGTTCCTTCTTTTCTGTGTATTGTCCTTATCTCTTCTCCTTTTTTGTGAGTTACTTTCTTGTAATACCTTTAATCATCGACGCTTATACTTATATGACCTAATTGTGTTGTAAGTTTTGTACCTACTTGAGATTGATAATAATAATTGTATTTGTTTAACGCATATCCTTGCCTGGATGGCTTGCAGGTGCTCTGGTATAGTTAGCTCCTTCTTTCCTATCAAACGTTGGTCGTCCTTATCTCTCCTCCTCTTTTTTGATTGTTACTCTTTTGTACCACCCATAATCTTCGGCACTTATATGACCTAACAGCCTAACTACTAGACCACTGATGCCACAATAGGTGTGTTCGGTGTTATCTTGCAAAATGTTGTGTATTTGATTCACCAGTAGGGAAGTTTATTTTATTATTATCTGTGACTTCCTGTTAGAGAAACTTTATCCCATTTTAGCCTGGTTTGAAACAGACTGCCTCTTAACATTTTGCCGTCACATCTCGCCGATCGGCAATGTTTACCGCCCAGTTTCTTTGGATTTCCCCCAAAATGCCTTTGCCTTTGATGACAAGGGTTTTTGCTATATGAGCCTTGTGATGGCAAAGTTAAATTTAGTTTTTTTAAGTTTGCTTTTTTAACGGCACTTTTTGCGGATGGTTGGAGGGCACCTTTGGTAGTGGTAGGTCCTACTTCTTTCTTTTCCTGCTGTTGTTTCTGTCAGTGTGTCTGTTTTTTTCCCAGCACTAAATGACCTTTATTGTGTCGATGTGCTTCTTTTCTTAAACAAACAATATGGCACTTGCACAGCACGAGTCATAATATACAGTAATTGCTGAAGGTTAGTTCTGGAGAGTAACATGCAAAGAAAAGAAGAGAGGAGAGAAAAGAATTAAAGTTTTTTCTTATTATTCTTTATATTTCGAACGCACACAAAGCAAAATTCGTACGTAATGAAAAGATTTCTGTTGCACTGATAGACAACATTAAAACATGGACTGGCCTGGGTATAGCAGCTCGCGACTGTGAAGGATAGAGGGTCATTACACGTCAACCTCTGAATCAGAGGGCTCTCGTGGTCTAGAGGTTACGGTGTTCGCCTCTTATTTAAAAGGTCCAGATAGCAATGGAAAATTTTCTTCTCTAAAATTTTCTTCTTTCACCTTCTTTCCTGCTCTCTAACAATGTTCTGTTGCCTGCTTTCGTCTCCACTTTCTGCCTTCACCCCCTTTGCCCCCTCCTCTGGGCTCCTGACTCTTTCTGCTGCTACTCCTTCGCTCCTTCTTACACTGCTGTCTTTCAGCCACACCACTGAGCTTATGGTAGGTAATATCTAACACCTACCCTTCTCGGATAAGGGTGAAAAATCTCAGAGGTTCCGTGTGCAAGTGTGCAAGTTGCGCACGTTAAAGATCCCTTGGTCGTCCAAAATCAATAAGGGGGCTTCAGCTACCATCCCAGCAAAATTAAAAATTTCCTACCAACTGAAAAAGTATAATGTGTCCCTCACGCTCATATGATGTTATGCAGTTGCGAGTGCCCCTAGAAAAGAAAGAAAAAAAGAGAGATGACACCTCCAGGTATAATATACTGATTTTGCTATGTTCGTGCTGGACTTCATGTAATTTACTGTTGTCAATAGCATTGGAAAGTGGAAAATTCACATTCCATACATTCTAATAGCTTACTCTGAAAGTACAGTTTTTGTCCCCCCTCCTGAATTCTTATTTCTGACATTACACAACACATCCCATACATAACTTTCATCCAGGTTCATCATCATCAAGTGCCAGATCTGTGGCAGACATCGTTTTTTATAAATAGTTTTTTCACTCTACTATAAAATTTATAGAAACTGATTTAGCTACATAGGATCCCCCTGTGAAGAAATGGAATTTGTAACAAACACAACACTAAAGACATTGCTTGATTTCTCTGGGGGAGGGCATAATTTATTATTCATGTCATGAGGGCATAGGTCAATGCAATCTGAAAGTGGCAGTATGCATACATTTTAATAATTTTATTATGTGCAAGATTACAAAAAAAAATTATATATATTGGCATTGGTATTGAAATCAAGACAAGGTTCATTACTTTCCAACATGAGATTCTTAATTCTAATAATCAACCAGAGCACCTCTGATGTTTGTTAGAATATTTCGTCACTGCTAGCAAAATGGCACATCTCATTTTTAATACTTCTGAAATAAAAGGAAAAAAAAAAGACTGTTTAACTAGGCTATTTATCATCTAATAATTGTAAAACTTGTCATGCATGTTTCTTTTGTGACTACCAGCGCATTTCTGTTTTCGTTTTACATACAAATAAAATAAAAGGCGAGTCGTATTCTGGCACAACTCAGAGTTATATCCCATTTTACTAACGCAGTGACGATTTTGTAAAAATAGATCTTCATCTGATACCCCATTTAGAAAAAAGTACTTTACTTTCTACTTAGAGTTTTCTTATTAAAAACAGAAGGCTAGAAAATAAAGAATTTCCAGGGACATGCTCTAACCACTAATGCCTGGTTTCAGTTTGAGAAAAATTTATCGAGAGATGCCTCTCTCACTCAACAAAGAAAAACACTGTGTACTAATCGTGGGTGAAGAGGAATTAGAAGTAAAACACATTTTCATCTTTTTTACAAATATGA